GCCCAAATCATCTTAAGGGAAGGGAGACAGAACAACTAAAACATGATCTCTAAACTTTTCCAGGGGGAAGTTCTTCCTTATATTTCCCCCTTAGTGCTTCCTGGTTGTTTTATTTTCTGAGTCAACAAGCCTGAGTGAATTGGGGGTCAGGAGACCCCCAACTTCCACACCATCTCCCTGTGTGACCTTGAATAAACCACTTTCCCTCTCTAAACCTTATCCGTCAAATGGAAAAGTCCTGTCAACGTCACAGGGTTGTTTTGATAAGCAAATGTGGTCATGGCTCTGGGAGCTGATTGTTAAATATTCAGGACTCCTGCAGCCGGTTGTTGAATGACTAGTAGCCTGAAATCATTCATGGTGAGGGTATTTACACCACTGTAATCAGCAAACATTACAAATCAGAGCTTTTTTTTTTTTTCTGGAGAGACTGTTTACCAATCCACCACTGAAATGAAGTAATGTTTATAAGCCCAATGTGTGTGTGTATATAAAATTTGCAAGCCCTAAGCTATCCAGCACACTCCAGACTCAAATATTTGACTGACTACTCACAACCCTATGTGGTTGTCTAACAGGCATTGCAGCTTAGTGTGGTCAAACACACAGTTTCTGGCTTCCATCCCATTGTTTCAACCAACTCCTAACCCTGTTGTCCCCATTGCATTAAATGACCCCAATGTCCACCCAGAAGCTCAGGCCACAGACCCAGGAGTCACCTCGATTCCCCTTTCCCACTTCCCCTGTCTAATCCATCAGTGAGAGCCTCCTCAGTGGCTCCGCTGCTTCTGCTCTCAGTCCTATTCCTCAAAAGTTGACCATGCCTATTGCTGCCCCAGGGCCTTTGCACTTCCATTCAAGTCTAAGCCTAAAGGTCATCTCCTCAGAGAGGCCTTTCCTGGCCACCAAAGTCTGTTTTCCAAATGCACTTACAAGTTCTCTGAGAGATGACCTATTCACCACCATGTCTCCAGTACCCAAAGCAATGCTTGACATGTGGCAGATGCTTGGTATATACTAGTATTTGTTGAAGGAATCAATGCCACAAGAACACTGTGTAAAGTGCCATTTCTCTACCGTTTCTCTGAAAGGTGCTGGGAATTCTTCTTCCTCGTCCTTTGCTTGGGGATGGGTGGGGGAGTGGAGAAGACTGTGACTTCACCCATTTTGGTATCTTGCAGGACACCCAGATGGGCCCTTTTGAAGGGAAGGTCTTCCCAGATAAGAGTTTATCATATCCTTTGCACACTCTTTCTGCCCACAGAAGAGAACCATACACGAAGCAGGATGTGGCCTCCTTTTCTGACATGAACATTATTTCAACGTCCAGAAAACTTTTAACAATAGGCAGAATCCACCGTCACAGCCCTCCTGCCCCCTCCCCTCCATAATGGGAATTTTGTTTCCCCCTAAATATGTCTGGCAAGTTTCTGGCACATGGCATTTGAAAGGGGAAAAAAAAAATTCCAGCGGAAACTAGGTACATGATATGGTTTTGGAATCTTGACAGTTTTATGCACTTAAAACATAAACCCTTCACAGTTGGCAGAGCACAAGTCTTAGCGTTAGACACACTGGGAGTCCCGTTCTGCGTCTGCCGTTTCTAGCTGTGTGACCCAGGGCCAGTTAGCTCCCCGGGCTGTTTCGGTTTCCTCACATGTTAGCTGGAGGTAGTACAACCTCACAGGGTTGGTCTGAGAATGAAATGCTGCCACTGCATTGGCAGTGTTAGGCTTTCCCTCTTGCCATCCATCTCACCCTGAATTTCTCACTTTCACTGGAAAATGAGAGTCCTCAGGGAGCCTCCTTATGGGACTTTCTTTCTGGGGGGGCCACAATCCTTTGCTCTGAGGTGCCTGGGAGGAGGGTGTGGAGTTGAGTTGGTGGTGAGGTGAAGCCACAGGCAGGCGGGGGCTGGGGGGCGGGGGGGGGGGGGAGTTTTATTTGGAGCCCCAGTTGGATTTTGCATTCAGCAGACACCAACTCCAACACACCCCACCCTTTGTGGCAATGAGCCCCAGCCAGGCCC